AGTGAGCCTCGTAGCAATTGCGCCAAAAATTAGGTGATAATTATATTAGAAGTACAAAAACTTATCACGAATGTGTAATTAGATCTTAAAATTTATCGTGAAAATATAATTGAGTCTTAAAATTTTTAAAATGTGTGATCAAATTTTAAAATTTATCAAATTTGTCCAATCAAGCCTTTTCATTGATTGTATATTTTGAAAATTTTTGAATTCGATTGCTTTTTTATAACAAGTTGTAAAATTACACTTTAATAATAAGTTTTAGGATTCAATTATATTTTTGTGACGAGTTTTAGGATTTCTATTATACTTATCTAAAAAATTATGTCTTTGATTTCTCACGAAAGATTTAAAATGAATAAAATTAGATTGAATAATTACGAATAGAGTATGGACAATTTGCATGTTATCATTCGCATGTTTTGAAGGAATTATTAAATTACCGGTATTAAATGATGGTCGAGTTGGATGTGCAAGAACTCGTAGAAAAGAAGGTGAAAAATTAAAAGAGTGAAAATTCCATATTTAGGATCGGACATCAATAATTTAATCATCAAAATTTATTTAGATTTTATTTTATGATTGATAATGAAATTTTTGGCGCGTAGTTGATAGGGGATTAGGATGCCAGCTAATGATGGGAGCAAGTTGGAGATATTTCTTTGGAGGTTTTGTGGTAATCATGAGCCGGTCTGACTTTTTTTCTGGCTTTCGTGGACGGATGTGGACGGTGAGAATTGGCACGATCTGGGAAGGTAAAATGTTTAACGTAATCTTTCTATTAATTAAAATTTAAAAATTATATTATATATTTTTATATAATTAAGAGATTAAATTGAATATGTATTAAAAATTCAGGAATTACATTGAACAAATTAAAAATTTAGAAACTACATTAAATAAATTAAAAGTTCATGAATTATATTGAACATTAGGCTAAAGTTTAGGGACTATATTGAACAAATTAAAAATGCAGGGATCAAATTGCACACTAAACCAAAGTTCATAGACTGTTTGTGTCATTATCCCATTGAAAAGACAAATGAAGATCAAAAAGATTTGACGACTTACATTCTATGTAAGAGATCATTACTAACAGTTCCAAAAGTTTAAGCTATAAAATGAATGTATGATTTATTATTTAAATATTTTAACACTCCCCATTACGCTTAGTCTGATCTTTTTGTCTAATACTAAACGGGCACATATTTGATTAGGAAGACAAATGGGGCCCGAAAAAATTTAAACTTATTCAGAAAGACTAAATCATTAGATGAATGTGTGGTTAACCATAAGGGTCTTGCATTTGTCTAGGAATTGTTCAATTAGAGCTGTAACAACTCCGCATCACCGTAGCCCCCACCAAGATGCAAGTAGTCAAGAAGTCTCTCCACACGAGATATATTGTAACTAGATATCGCGAGATGGGCAGTCCACTTTGCTAATGATATGGTCGAGCATGTGATCTTGTGGAAGAAATGCAACCCCTCTACTACTAGGTCAACCACCTAGGTGGCACGTCACATTGGGTTATATTATCAGCTAACAGATTATGGATCCATTAAAAGTTTATTAATTTTCAAAAGAGAAATTTAAAAAGTCCTAAACATATAGGTCAGTCAAATCCTACACAAATCAAGTCCAAAGCATTTTGAATAGAGTGCAACTGAGTCCTTCCGACCATCGCTCAGCCAAGCTTACTAACATGGCACATCAGTAGTCCGACGTGACTTTTTTTTAACATGTTTAACAATGGAACTCTAAATTTAAATTTAAGCGTGCTGGATAAAAGCATTATCGGGATGGATGTCCTTTTGGAAAAATATTTACTGTGCCAAATGACAAAATTATGAGACTCAATATAAAAAATGCCAAAAGTAAGAAAATGTCTTTAGTGAGTTAATTAAAGAGTGTCGCAATATAGTATTAGAGCGAGAGCCTCTCCGTAGTGTGTGATTCAGGGAGGGAAAATTGTCCAAAAAGCCCTAAATCTACTATACGGTGGCCAATTCAGTCATAAACTTTATAATTATGCCAATTCAGTCCCAGATCGTTTGACGATTTTAAAATTTAGTTATAAGCCTTTCAATTGTACCAATTTAGTCCTAAACATTTTGATGATTTACCAATTTAGTCCTAAACTTTTTAACAAATTTACCAATTTAGTTATTCGATCAATTTTGTCCGAAAATTGCTAACGTGGCGATCTAGTTGACGTCAACCGTCCAACGTGGCACGACCGACATTAATGTGGACAATTTTTGTAATTTTCTAAAATTTTCTTTTTTTCCTTTTTCTTTTTTCACTTTTTCCATCTACTAGGCTCCCATCACCTGGCCTGGCGAGGTCCGTCCTCCTTGGCCCCTGGTAAGAGCAACCCTCGCCCTCGGCTGTGGCCGGCGAGGATGTCAAGGCCCTCTCGAGGCTCGACGACCCGGCAATGTTAGAGGGAAAAAGGGAAAAATAAAATAAATAAAAAAAGAACAGGAAAAGAAAAGATAAGGAAAAAAGAAAGAAAATTTTAAAAAAGGCAAAAATTGTCTACGTCAACGCTGGTTGTCCATCAGCGTTAGCTATATCAGGCCAAAATTAATCGGAATGACTATGACAAATCGTTAAAAGGTTTAAGACTAAATTAATAAATCGACAAAAGATTTAGGACTAAATAGAAGGTTTAGGATTGAATTGTTCGCCGCACAATAAATTTAGGACTTTTTGGACAATTTTCTTGATTTGGAGACGAACCCCATGGAAGCTAGCGGGCTTATAACGACGCGGTTTGATAAGGGTAGGAAGTGATTGCCAAGGCAAGAGAACCCAAACAAGAAGCGGTTCTTGGCAAGTTTCAAGAATGCCGAAAAGGGAAGGAATGAAAATTTGCACATTGAACATGGAGAGATCGTTTAAGGTTATATATATATAAAACTGGAATTAACTCAAGGGATATGCTTTTTGATTTAACAATATTCTTTAGCATTGGATCTTCAATGTGAAGTTACTCATGTGAAAGTACTACGAAGATGAGTGACCTCAAGTCAAAAGGAAATATTAATTAGGGTCAGCATAGAATGAGCTCAAATAGACAATATCTCGAGTAAGTCAATTAGGAGAGTCACATTATCCATCCTAGATCCAAGGGTTTTGAAATAATTGATGTAACCAATCATTTGCATGACACAATCATTAATGATGACTAGGCACTAGGTTCGAGAAATTAATAAAATATGGTCACGTCGGATTTCTACCCACCCATATCGAAGTTTGCACTTAAGTGATTAAAAAAAAACTTGAGGCACTAGAGTGAGCATCTTACACAACTTTTGGCACTTTTAGTGTCCTTCCTTCCTAAAACTTTATATTAACTTTTTTTAGGCCTTTCAAATTCTTGCCAATGAACTTTGATGTGTACAGCTTACTCTTATCGAAGAGCATCGTCCTTTTTCACAACATAGGTAGTTTATGCTCAGCATTGCATTTTTTCCCCCGAAGGAGATGGTTTAGGTTCATATTTAGGAGCATGACAGTTCGGACTTTGTGAAATTCATAATGTCCTTGTTCAACTGGTTTCTTCAATTCTTTGAAAAAGTCTCAGCCATCAATATACCTGGATAATATGCCCTTTTCAAGAATTTTCCCCAGGACGATCAGCATTTTGTCATGACCATGAGATAGCATAGTCATCGTTTATGCAGCAGCAGGTTGTTGTTCTACAGTACTGAGTCTTAACATTCTTGAACAGCTGTTGCTTATCGAAATAAGAAACAGCCTTTGAAATGTATGTACCAGCAGGCACTTGCATGCGCATTCAATGGTTGTTCCTTTTCCCAAATTAATAGTGATGAATGCCCTGATGAAAGAACGTCATCTGCTCGGAGTCGGAACTTTTCTCGGTAAGACAAGATCCTTCTCTGTGATAGACCATGCCATATCGTGTATGTACCAGCAGGCACTTGCATGCGCATCCATTTTATGAACATGTATGTATGTACCATGCATGTATATCTATCTATGTATGCTGGTGAAAAGCCTCAAGGGAACTCAAGTTCGGGGTGAAAAGAACCAATAAACAGAAAGCAGTATTCAAAGATCGAAGAGTGCAGGTCCAAATCTATCATCGCTGTTGTCTGTTGACACACTGTTCAGCACTGAAAGGAATCAGGCATGACATATGTTCATAGCTCATAAGAGCTCAAGTGTCAACGTCTAGTTAACAGTTTAACTAGATTCACCCAAACATCTTTGTGAACAAACCAAGGAACAGAAAGCGGTATATAAAGAACGAGGACAGTGTACAGCTGCTGTCTGTTGACACTGTTCAGCACTGAAAGGAATCAGGCATGACATGTGTTCATAGCTCATATCAAGTATCATCATCTAGTTAATGGTTTAACTAGATTCATCCAATCATCTTTGTGAACAAACCAAGGAACACAAAGTGGCATTGTAAAGAACGAAGACCAGCGGTATGTTGAGCCACTAGCAAATCCATCATCATTGACAACAAATGAAAGTCAATGAATAAATGCAACTAAGGAACAGTGTGAACAAACAACAGCTATCTACTGGTTCAGATAAAATGCTGAAATGAATCAGCATAGGATAGGTTCAAGGGATGCTAAACCACTAGCAAAACCATCATCATTGACAGTAAATGAAAATCGAGGAATAAATGCAACTAAGGTACAGTGTCAACAAACAACAGCTATACACGGCTATACACTGTCATTCATTAAAATGCTGAAATGAATCAGCATAAAATAAGTTCAAGGGATATTAAGCCACTAGCAAAACCATCATTCATTAACAACAAATGAAAATCGATGAATAAATCCAACTAAGGAACAGTGTCAACAAACAACGGCTATACACTGTCAGGTTCAGATAAAGCGCTCAAATGGATCAGCATCACATATGTTCAAGGGATATAAGGAACACTCCCAAGGCAACTTATGTTGCTATATTTTCAACGGATGTTAAGCCACTAGCAAAACCATCATTCATTGACAACAAATGAAAATCGATGAATAAATGCAACTAAGGAACAGTGTCAACAAACAACGGCTATACACTGTCAGGTTCAGATAAAACGCTCAAATGGATCAGCATCACATATGTTCAAGGGATATAAGGAATACTCCCAGGGCAACTTATGTTGCTATACTTTTTTAAGCCCCCCACCCTGGCCCCAAAAGTCAGTTTTTTGATGTTTGATTTAGGTAAAGTACGCGACCACGCAACCCTATTACAAAAGGAAGTTTAAGAGGAAGTTAGCGGGCTCAGTTCTCGCGGCATGACCAAACTTGGATGTGCTATACTTTCGGTGCACACCAGTGAGCTTCCCCGATCCAGCCCTCTGATGGAAAGTGACCATCAATCTGGCGCATTCCCTACAAGAATGCAGAACCCCCCCAATTATCACAAATTGCTTAAAATAATAAGCTGAACAAACGGAAGCCATCTCTAGGTGTGGAAGAAGGAAGGAACAGAGTGTCGCTTACAGGAGCTGTGCTTCTGGGTAGCTGGTGTGCCATTCGCATGTCGTACTCCACCGTTTGGTTCCGGCTATTGTACACTGAGCAGTGTAGATTGCAGAAGCAGCTAATAAAGAGGGTGGGAACTTCAGCATCTCATATTCAACCAGGGAAAGCTCGATGATGAAGAATGACAGGAGCTCGAGCTGGGCAAAGTATAAATTTCTTATTAAAATCAGTTATACAAGAGAACGATGTCGATAATGCAGCTCAAATTCAACAAACATGAATTCATTATAAACCTTCTTGTCAGATTGAGCAGCTTTAAGAAACCTCCTCATGAAAACATAAGGAGTGGGCACTGACATGTTGAAGTGCAAAGTATTCACCATCAGCCTCTCCTGCAGGTAAATTGAAATTCACCATCAGTTAAGGTCACCCACTTAATGTTATTCAGAATAGATTTTATAGATTATTTAATTCGATGTACCATTTCCAAAACTTCTTTCCTGCTATAAGCTTTGTCTGAAATTAGAATGAGATCCTCCACAACTGGAACTGAGACTTCTTCGTATTTGCATGCCAGAAGCATGGCCGTTACCCCTACCAGCTGGAGTTTTTTCTTCACTACAGGTTGGACAGCTAAGAATCTATCGATGAGATTGACCGTAAGATACAAGGTCTCATCCATCAATTCAAACTTGTAATGAACCTGTTACTTATAATTATCAGTAAGTTGCTTCATCCATACCAGCTAATACTCCAACTCTTACCATTTTAAGAGCATGTAAGCACTTTGACTCACCTCAATCAGCCAGTCAATTAGTATACCTCTCATCCGCTCATTAATATCCTGCTGCTGATCCATGTAGTTCGGGGGAACACAACTGGAAGCCTACATGATAAGAAACCAGACAATGATGCGCCAAAAGTCAGAATATTTGATATTGTCCTAACTTATACGCATCACTCTACACTTTACACCTGCAGTGACCCAGCATCATCCACTAGCAATTATGCAAATGGCAATTTCTTTCGATCGTTTTTTCGTTTCCTACATTTGAAGCAGAAAACAACCATATACCAGAGAAAGAAAATTCATAATTTGTCTCAATCGTAAAGTCTATACATCTAAGTGAGAATTAAAAGGAATTTATCACCTCAGCTTTCTTATAGTTTGTATATGTCAAGCAGACAACTATTATATACCAGAGCAACAAAAGTGATAATCCACCTCAATCATAAAGCCTACACATCTAAGTGCGAAGTGAAACGATTTTATCACCTCGGCTTTCTTATAGAACTTGTATAGGTCATCAATGTACTCAGCAACAGCCAACTGGTTCTCCTTATCACAGCTGTCAATGTCCGTGACAGGTTCTTCAGCTACATCTTCCATCTCAACCTCCTCCTGCAGCAAGTACAAGTTGTAGTTGCGGTCTTTCTAGTATTAAATCAATGCTAATCTGTTAGACAATGACAACATCTCCATACCATCCGATCAATTTCTTCCAACATTGCTTCAGTGTGCTGCACAAACATCGGCACCGGAAAGTCATCAGCCATCTTGTCGTCATCTGCATCTAAGATGGCACAATCTTCATATTTGCTGGGATTTGAGACTGATTGGATCGTCTTCTTGTTATCCTGTTAATTCTTTAATCGTGAGCCTCTCTAAAAACAAGGCATCATCACACAAAACAACAACAGACTAGACTTTACAAACCACAGAAAGGGTATACCTCAGGTCTAAGTTGCTGCTTGTAAGCCATCTGAGCAGCAAACTGCCTAAACAAATAGCAATTTATGAAAGCTTAAATCAAATGACAAGTTCTCAAGCCTATAAACCAAAAGAATCATCGAAAAGTCAGATACTAACCTAGTAATCGGCCGATGCGCACCACTGGGAAGGTCGTTTTCAGAATTGACATTTTTTCTGAATGCGGTACATAAATAAAAAACAAGTAAGACTTCGAATGTGTGGGATAACAGAAGCATCATGGATCATCAAAGAACTCTTAGCTATGTTAATAATCTTTACTGCGGCGATATTATATTCCGGAAGCCTAAAGAGTAAAACAGAGCCACAGTTCAAGAATTAGGGTTCCAAAGAATTACTCGGACAAGACCCTCTTGTTGATTGCGCACGGATAAGGAGGAGCCCCAATGATGTTGCTGTTGATGTTGCCCAGAGCTCGTCTCTGCTGACCATTCCCCGCGACAATCTTGCCCGCCCCGACCCGCAAGCCGTCTGTCGATCCCATCCCCCCATAAACCAACAAAAAATCACGTTAGGGTTCTAAAGACTACCCCAAAATTCCAACAAAAATAAAAATAAAAAAAATTCGAACACCCAAGAAAGAAAGCCGCGAAATTGGAGATCGCCCATCGTCGGATCACGTACCTCGAACGAGCGCACCTCCGACCGCGCCCGGGTTGTTCTCGTCCGATCCGGCCATCCTTTCCGCCTACCCACAAAACAAGACCCACCACCGATCACCGTCACTCAATGTTCAAGCAATACCCCCAATCGACGAGACCCAAGAAAGAAAACCCGTAAAAAAAAAAAGGACGCGAATTTGAAATCGAACTCCCCCCAAAAAAGAACGCACGGGGGGCGCATCAAAGAATCGAAGATCAGTTGAGCACGGAGGCGCATCAAAGAATCGAGATCAGAGCGCGAGCGCACAGAAACACACACCCCCCACCCACCCACCCACCTTCGGAAAATCGCGATCTTCCCCGTTTCACTCCTTCCGAGCCGAAGCCGAAGCCGAAGACGAACAAAGCCCAGCCTCCGGAGATCAGCAGCAGCGAGAGAGATCCACGAAACCCTCCATCAAATTTTGAGTACCCTCTCTCCCTCTATCTCTCTGTCTCTCTCTCTCTCAATCAGTAGACAGTCTTCTTCTGAATTGGGGGAAAGGAGGAGGAAGAGGAGGAGAGAGAGTGAGTGAGGGAGTGAAACTGCGCAGGCGAAATAGAGACGCAAACCGCGGATATATGTCCGCACATGATTGTTCCTCTCTCTCTCTCTCTCCTCTTCTCTCTACGGAGGAAACTTTAAACGCAACGGCTAGTGAGCGGGAGCCGTCCGATTCGATCTCGATGGGGTGGGGAATGGTCGCGTTCCTTCCCGATCCCTTGTGCCCCCCTTCCCCTTTCCAACGGCTACCTCTCTCCGCATGTGCTTTTCAAAAACGAATTAGCTTGACGATTTCCTTTTATTTTTTATTTTTTTGCTTATTTTTATTTATCTCAATTTCACTTTTTTGGGTTGAATTAAAGGGTGATATATATTTTTTTTGGTCGAATTTATTAAAGGATGAGATGAGATATGAGATACGGGGTGTTTAGCATTTTTTAATGCTGCGCGTCCCACAAATTTTTATTTTTTCTTTTTTCTTTTTGGACGCGGCTTTCATTTAATGATGGTGGTGATGCTGGCTGATGATCTTCGGGAGCAAAAGTTGGTGAGTTACAAGGCCTTCTTAGGGGTACGTGGCGGTCTTCGATTGGGCGTTGACGATCGCAATGATACGGGCGTGTGGATTGAGCGTTCATGAGCTGTTTTGGGTTCTGAGGCTCCTCTTGCTTTTGAAGCGCCTAACTTGCACTTAGGTTAGTAATTATGTATCAGCGCTAATGTGTCATTTTATCTTGCATCCTGACAATCGAATTTGACATCACGGGTAGAAAAATTACGGTTTTGTTCGTTCGTTCGTTCCATCGACATGATGTTAAAGGAAAAGATATACGAATAAATTGTATTTTGATGAACGGAAAAATTACGCTAGAAAATGTTGTTCTTTTATTGCCTTAAAATCACGTGCTTAATGGCATATACAAATTAATGGCGTGTGAAGAATGGAAACATAAGTTTATCTTGCTAGCAAATGCTTCCAATGTTGCAATTTGACATATATGGTAAGTGTGAATTCAAGATTACAATCACATGGTTTATGTGAAAAAAATAATAATTTATATTGCATTTTCGCCCGGTCTATTTAAAATATTGCAAGCGATTGAAGCTACTCATCAGTTATTCATGCTCGAATCGCGCCTATTTGAGATCAGCTCAAATTTTTTTTTTTTTTAGCTTAAGTAGCTTGTCGAGCCAAGTTTGAGCCTAAAGATACTTGACTCAAGCGACTTGTGAGTCTGATCGAGTATTTCAAATATATATATATATATTCTATTTTGGCTATATATAAAGTTAAACAACGTAATTGCCTTTACCATTAAATCTATATTAAGGCCAAAAGTGGATTTTGTCTCTTATATACTCTTACATTGAATATAGAAAGACAAAGCAAGACATAAGGAACACATCCTCATTAACTTCCTCACTTCATCCGCTCACTTGCATGATTAGTCATTTTCTTCCTTCACTCACCCATCCGGGCACCCACGTAGCGTGTTCACGATTACCAGTATTTGAAATACAAACAAACAGTGCTAGTGTGATATTGAACCGAGTCGAGCTTCAGTATGTTAAGTTTTGTATCGAGTCGAGTTTGAGTAGGAAAAGAAGTACTCGATCGAGTTCAAGTCGAGTTTTGAGTTTCTAGTTTAAGAGTCTAAGTCCAGCTTGAGCCTAGCATTGTATCGGCTCTGACTCGATTTCACCCATGTTATAGAATGCCAAATAAATGTCCTTTTTTTTTTTTGTTAAAGAGCGACCAAAACGCCTTATATTAGCTCAAAATAACATTGTGCGGTGCACAAACTTCTACTCTGTGTCATCTTGAAATTTCTTCATTTACTAAAACTATTTAGGATATTAAAATGATAAATAGTTTGACGGAAATATTTGATAACTTCAACAAATTACGACTCAGTCATTGAACTCGTTAAGTTAGAAAAAGTTCTAGAAAACGAGTTTTCGAAACCATGATAATAAACAAGTTTGTGAAATTGTGGAGGGCAATTAAATCTTTTAAAGGGTTAAAAAGGGCAACACAAGTTAGAATTGATGAAAATGCTTGAAGGTTTTGTTGTATTTATGGTGGGTTAATGGATCAACGAATGTGAACAAAACGAGATACGTCTCTTCCGTTCAAGTATCTCATTAATTCATTTATCTCTCGAGTTCATGTATTTCTTAGATTCGTATATCTACTTAATTTACGTATCTATTTAATTCATGTATCTATTTAATTTTTAGTTCATGTATCGTTTCTGTACATGAATTCTAAAACTCTTTAAATAGAGTTGAAATTCTTCATTCCAAGTAATGTTCAAAAACACCTACATGTCCTCTATTTAATTTTCTCTAAGTGTGCTGGTTTCAAGAAGTGTTTGACAGAGTCCTGTTTGCATAGTGCTAATTTAAACGGGTTTAAGGTGTTATATCTTGGGAGGTATAGTTCGTGAAGCTGCTTAGCACCGTTTGCAGGAACTGATTACCTTAAGGAGATTCGGTTAGCCGTACCTCACCTCCTGTTTATTTTGTTGTCGCTTTCTCGGATTTATTATTTTTCTAATTACATCAAACAGTGTTACGTATCTTCTTCTCCTAGTACGTAAACTCTTCTTCTCCTTGCTCATCTAATTTTCCAACTGGTTTATGAACTCTGCAAACCTTATAAGAACATAGAATTTATTGATTTTCATAGTATCCAGAGATGCCATAATTGAGAAAAATCAATTGCTAAGATAATTCTACTAACTTCAATACACATAAATGAATAGAAAAATCTCTTAAAGGACTTACCCCAAAATATTTTACAGATTGGTCAAATTCAAAGTTAAGGGACATCCATATTAGCGCTTCAAAAAATCTCTTTACGGATCTGGATCAGAGTGCGCAACAAAAATAGGGTGTATAATCAGTCATTATAAGGACTTTTGATTATGTACAGTAATAAGAAAAATTGTGTAACATCATTTGAGGATCAATTATTTATTCTTTTAATGTTCAAATTGGGTCGAAAATTGTGACATGATCACCAAGTAGCATAGAAATGAAAGCTCTTGCCAATTTGCGCAAGGATTTCCTTCTCTGTGCACACGAGAAAGTTTTATGTGATCGAAATGTTGCAGCGGATCTCGTATACGAAAAACAAGATTATTTGCAAACGAAGTCTACTAGGATCATTCGTGCGATGCACCATCGTGTTCACTTAGAGACACCCAAAGGTCAAGCATTCAACCACTCTTTAAAGGTAGTTTCATGGGCTCTAAAACATCCTTAGATTTCAATTGATCGGTCACTATGTCGTTAACGTACTCGTGCGTAACAACAAATGGCGAAGAAGGTATCTACAGTTTTGGTTGAAAAATTCCATTGCCCTAAGTATATTTATACGCATGTCCGTGATGCATACGGTATGTGAACGAAGGTCTACGTTTCTTCTTTTATATTTTCCCCTCGAAATCCCGGAGATTTTTATTACAAGGCCGGTCCGTGAATACGTAGTTTAACGAGGAGTCCAGTCTTCAAGGATCTGACCATGGTCAAACTGACAATTGAGATTTTCTTTTGGGGACAAGACAGAGAATGGAGATTAATCATATGCTCGTTTTGCAATTTCTTTGTTTATTTTTTTCCTGCTGAGGGAACATATATGACAGTATTCTAATTAATTGTTGCATTTGAATGTTTAAGTACGGTCGATTATTCATGGATGAGCTTGTCATATTAAAAAAAAAACATTGGAAGAAGAACAAAATAAATCGGCACACTCAAATTGTTAATTGAGTTCATACCACAAAAAACTTGAGGAATATGATTTTGTCGATGAGGTTTTGACTTTTGAAGCACCTGTTACGGAATCTCAAATTTGAAGTACTAATTAAGTATTATCTCAAATTTGTCTCAAATTCTATTTAGCTTATTTCTTTATTGGACACAATCTTACTTAACGTGGAGGAATAAAAAATCCGAACCAAACAAACTCAGCAACCCATTGGGTATTATTTTGATCTAATATTCGTTAGGGGCAATCGGTTTCAAGTGAATCTCTCTCGAGCCTAGATCAGGAACTGAACCTATGACTTCCGGTTCCAAATTTGGAACTAGGAATCGGCTCACTTTTTTTATTTTGTACAAAAATATTTTTTTTTATAATAAAAAATAAAATTTGCACTATTTCACTACAAACACATATGTTGGTTACAAAAGGCATTTTTTTTTTCCAAAAAGAAGCTTTAAAACCAGCTCAACTTGAGAATCGAACCGATTGAACCGGTTTAGATTGTTCCCAGGGTAGAACTGGCGGTTTCGACTTTAGAACCGGTTCTAGGTTTGTGGAACCAAAAACTGAACCGGTTTGGTTTCTTTCTCATATTGAACCGGACCCAATACTCACTCTTAATGTTCTCAATTAAAACAATCATAATGTCAATGGCATTGCCTCTCAAGATCCTTTTAGTTGCATTGACAAAGGTGTAAAAACACACACATACACACGCACTTGTGACTCAATATGGATCTTGAAAGCTACACATCTAGATTTTTTGTGTTGGTCAATTAAAATAGTTTTTGAGGTTATTAGCCAATTTTTTTCATCTTCTTCTAATTAGTCAATTATTTGAAAAATTATTCGTTCTCGGGTTAATTGCTAAGTCAGTCTTAAATTTATTGTACGGATACCATTCGATTTAAACTTTTTTAATTTTGCCAGTGTAATCCTAAATCTTTGAGCAAAATTTCAATGTAGTCCTTCTAGTCAACTGCCGCTCGAAATCGATGACGTGGCGTCCAATCGCTGCCTGCCAGCCTACGTGCACACTAATGTGGACAACTTGACTCGAAACAACGTCCTACGTGAATTGCCATGTCATCGATTTCCAACAATAATTGACCGAAATGGCTACATTGAAATTTCACGCGAACGTTAAAGATTACAGTGGCAATTGAAAAGTTCGGAACTGAAAATTGGCATTTGTACAACAGGTTTAGTACTAAATCGATACTTTTTTTCCATTCATTCTTCCAATTGTTAATTACCGTTTTAACGGCATTAAACTTTTCAGACTCGGCTTCAGCTGCTTACTCGCATTTAAATCAGGCGAATATTACAAAATGTCGTGCTTTTATTTTGTTTTATTTTGTTGTTTATTGGAGCTCGAGACTTGTTAAACTCGACAACACATTTCCTATGTGAAGGGAAATTAACCATTCAAAATTTCTCCCTCCTTAGTCAAGCCACAGACATGGGCTTCTAAAAATAACGAACTTTTGAATTGCGTCCAAGTACGTTGCGGAACAGAATAACTAACTTTCAAAAAGCCTTCCCTATGTTTGGTTTTTAAGCTCCCGCGACGCCTATCGTCTTTTTGCGAATCGAATGCTCCGACATTCCCGGGAAAGCATTACGCGCATCGAAAAGGCACGAACACACGAATCGATCGAACTTGAAAGAAAGGAAGAATTTCGATGCGGAATTAGGTTTAGGGTTTCGTTCTGGCGATATCGATCCCTCTTCTCCTCCTCGATCCTTCTCTGTCTGGATTCTCGATCGCATTGCCATTCCCGTTAATCAACGAAAGCGCAAGGACACGACCCCGATTTTGCAGCTCGATGATTAGAGCCCCGAAGTCCTTAGAGAGGAGGCATCCCGGAGTTCCATGCATATTGATTTGGGAATGTTGATGGATGGAGAGAGATTGGGAGGCGAGGAAGGAGGAGAGGCCGTGGAGGAAGAGAACGCCCCTGACGAGTCGGTGTCCCCGGAGGAGGTCGACGTGCTTCAAGAGATTGTCGCTGTGATCGAGTCCGCGGCACAGCTTGGGGATTACCGCCGGACTCAGAGGAAGGAGTGTTACAACCTCGTGAGGCGGCTGAAGCTCTTGTTGCCTCTCATCGAAGAGATCCGAGATCTTGACGACGCAATCTCGGAGACGGGCATCAAGTCTCTTTGGAATTTGAAGAAGGCGATCAGCTTGGCGAAGAGGCTCTTGAAAATTTGCAATGAAGGGAGCAAAATATACCTGGTTAGACAAATTTTGACTGCATTTATACTTGAGGCTAGTTGGCAATACAGGAATCGAATCCTCGGACTTTTGTCTTATGAAATCGTGCGATTTGGTTTCAGGCATTGGAGACCGAGGTGGTTAAGGTTAAATTTCATAAGGTTTACGAAAGATTGACTCAAGCTCTCGACGCTTTGCCTTACGATCAGTTCGGGATCTCCGATGAAGTTAATGAACAGGTATTGTCTCTTGATTCTAACCGAAAATTATGTTATCGATGCCTTTCTCATGGTATCCAATAGCGCAAGTTATCATTGTCATTCGGTTGGTGTTTGCTCAGTTCTTTTTTTTGTTGAAATTTGATGATGAGTTATCTCGTTCTCATTTATCGTGGGACATATATTTATCAGATGCAGTTGATGATCATGCAACTTAGAAGGGCAAGGAGAAGGACGGATACGCAAGACATCGAGCTCGCGATGGATTTGATGGTCGTGTTCTCCAAAAATGACGACCGCAATGCAGACAGTGCGATCGTCGAAAGGCTTGCAAAGAAGCTGGATCTGCACACGCCGGAGGACTTGAAGAACGAGACTCTAGCCGTGAGGAAGATCGTGAAAGAGAGGGGGGGCCTGACCACGGAGAGCATCCAGCAAATCATCGATCTCCTAAACAAGTTCAAACAAATTGCTGGCGTCGAAGTCACCAACATCCTCGAGGAACCAACCATGCCTTACAAGATGCTCGAGAAATTACCATCCTTGGTGATCCCTCACGAGTTCCTCTGTCCGATCACGCTCGAGATCATGACTGATCCCGTCATTGTTGCCTCCGGACAGGTGAATATTAAGATGGGCTAAAATGAAGAACCCATCTTCATTAGAATAGTGTCGATCCAAGTTTCAACTTCAAGATGTGCATGTATTGGTAGTTGCAGATCGATACATTATTTAATCTCTAGCATCCAACCGATAACTATGCTAAATTCTTGCTCGATTTCATCAGACCTACGAGAGAGAGAGCATACAGAAGTGGTTGGATTCAAATCATCGGACCTGTCCCAAAACTAGGCAAACTCTGGCTCACCTGTCATTGGCACCGAATTATGCCCTCAAGAACCTTATCCTCCAGTGGTGCGGGAAGAACAACTTCCAGCTCCCCGAGAAACATGTCCTCGTGGAGCCCGATAACTCCTTCCCCGAACAGAGAGAAGAGATTCAATCCCTGATCGAGGTCTTGTCATTCGGCCAATTGGAGGATCAGCGGAAGGCTGTCATCAAGATACGTATGCTCTCGAAGGAGAACCCCGAGAACCGAATCCTAATCGCTGAATCCTTGGGAATCCCACCATTAGTGCATCTCTTATCTTATCCGGACTCGAAAATCCAAGAGCATGCCGTGACGGCTCTCTTGAACCTATCCATTGATGAGGCCAACAAGAAAAGTATTGCTAAAGAGGGTGCAATTCCGGCCATTATAGACATATTGCGCAAGGGGACGACCGAGGCTAGAGAGAACTCGGCAGCTTGTCTGTTTAGCTTATCTATGGTAGACGAAAACAAGATCACAGTGGGATTATCAAACGGCATACCTCCTCTTGTAGAACTATTGCAGGATGGGACAATTAGAGGCAAGAAAGATGCTGCAACTGCATTGTTTAACTTGTCTCTCAACCAAATGAATAAGGTCAGGGCCATCGAGGCCGGGATCGTGCCACCTTTGCTCCAATTACTCAAGGACCGGAATTTAGGGATGGTTGACGAGGCCCTCTCAATTTTGTTGCTTCTTGCATCGCATCCAAGTGGACGCCAGGAGATTGGGCAGCTCTCCTTCATCGAGACCCTAGTTGAGTTCATCAAGGATGGAACTCCGAAGAACAAAGAGTGTGCAACCTCAGTTCTTCTTGAACTGGGTTCGAACAACTCGAATTTCTTGTTGTCGGCGCTCCAGTTTGGCGTCTACGAACATTTGATTGAGATTGCAAGGAGCGGCACGAGCAGAGCTCAGAGGAAGGCAAATTCAGTACAACAGCTTATGAGAAAGTATGAACAGATTCCTTGAAGTGTCGAAATTCGATATTCCGGTTCTGCAAACGTTCTTTTTAACTGGGTTACGATCGAAAGTAGCGTTCCGATAGAGTGGGACTTGAGAGGAGGATGGTGTTCATGAGTATGAGCAAGCAAATGCATGTGATTGTCGTTATTTGCTAATTGGAAACCGCGTACATTATCTATCAGTAGTACCCTTTCTCTCTTTGGGATCTGTTCCCAAATCCTAAGCCTTGCTTTCTTCTGTAAATTTGTTCTTCAAATAGTTTCATTTCTAATCATTTTTGTTTACCATGCTTCAATTTCGGTGGCAATACCAGTCTTGCGTAACACAGTTTTTCCTCCATATAAAGCTCGGTAAACCATCTGATGTCCAATGGCGAGGACATCACATCAATGCGAGTACAGTGTCTGTCTCGGCAAAATGCCGCCTCTGAAATGGATCGAGAGTTCTCGATCGTGGCCTAACATTCAGCTTAATCAGTCTATTGACGAAATCAGCCGAACGAATGCAAAATTTCTTTGTCATGCATGCAAAAGGCAAAACTTTTTACTCTTTGAAGTTACTGCCTCGTGTGAAAAACCAGATTCTTCTGCTTTTCATGCTGCAGTTCTTGTCATCTAATTTGGAGTTTGATGAGCAAAAAGATCCTCTTCTCATGCTTTTCAAAGGGCAATTAATAATTTTTACTAGCGAATGAGAGCATAGCTTAAGCTTACGAATTGACTTGGCAATTTCTTCTCAACCAGAAACTAACTTGAGCTTGGCTGAATGAAAGGCTCAATAGTGCACTATCTTTTGTCTATAGGAAGAAAAATGTTGCAATAGCTTCAATCCCATTGGGACATTGAAGAGAGCAAACATCCACCGGCCAGAATAAAGTGGTAGTTCAAAATAAGTAATTTGTCACTTATTCACACCCCAACTGCAAAATTTATTTAAGCTAGAATTATCTTTTTTAATTGTCATACGTCAGTGACAACTCGTGCCATATATTCCTAGTCCTTTTGGTCACTGCCCTATTACTGTCAAATGACTCAAATTCATTGCGGAGAGAGAGAGAGAGAGAGTGAGAGAGTGAGAGAGCAGGGGAACTGGTACATAACAATTGTGGACAGAGCACAAGAAAAATCAAGAATAGACTACAATAATGTAATTCTCTGGAATTCACAAAGCATTTTTGTGAGATTTTGTGGGACCACTGCCAACTGTTCTAGAATAGTTAGTCTAATAGTTTGGTCTTTTTGCCCAGTACTAAGCGTGGACATATTTAATTAGGGAGGCAAATAAGGCCCATAAAGATTTGAACTCGGGATCTCTTGCTTTGATATCATGTGAGATTTTATGGAACTACTGTCAACTGCTCTAAAAACTTAAACTGTTAGATGAAAGTATGGTTTAATATTTAATTGTTCTATTGTAAGACTGTCATCCTCTTTTTAATAATCATGCACAGCATAAAGAACCTTATTCTCTATCCTATTGAGCAAGTGAAGTGTTATGGCTAGTGATATAACCTGAAGGGGGTGAATTGATTATATATTGCAATCTGATAAATTTTTCGCAGAATAAATAGAAACGGTCGATATACGGAGGAATAAACTGTTAGTATCAGCGCAATGCTTCTATCAAATAGCTAAAGTAATAAGTAGATATAGAGATAGATGCACAAGGATTCATAGTGGTTCGATTTAGATCAAGCCTCTATCAACTCTCCTAAACTAATAGCCACCAACGAGGCTAGATTTGACTAGCAGCTCTTTGAGTCATTATAGTTGTAGCTTGCATTGCTTACCCAAAGCTGGTTGATCACACTAGCAAGTTACACGCACTACTACAACACTTGTACACTTTTCAAAAGATCCATAATTTGTGCGTAACCCTCACTAAGTGACTCAATTGATCACATAATATGTAAAGTGATCTTGTAATTCTCGCAACTCATCTTATATCCACTTTGGCTTGCATTAATCCCTTTCATAGTTGTCAATTTTCAAGTTGACCATTGAATGATTTTTTAGATACTCAATTTAGCCGTTATAGATAGCAATAATGATGTTCTCAGCTTGATATGAGCGAAAGCTTCGATCAACCTTCCATGATTCTTCCACAGACCTGTTCACCTATTAGTTCCTCCAAGTCCTCATGAATTTTTAGTTCTCTTGACTTGTTCACCCTTAAAGTCCATCGAGTCTTTTGAGCCCTTTCACTTAACACTTAGAATAGATTTAATGATATCGGATTATCAATTGATGTCACCTTAGTAGAAACAACATTTGCATCGATCACATCATAAGGGATAATTTTGTCAGTATCAAAACCCTTGGAGGTTTTCTCGATAGGAAGCAATCTTATTATGCAACTCTGCATTCCTTTCTAGCCAAATGTAGTAGATAGATCCACTCCAAGCAAGCTTTAAGAGAGAATTAGCAAAGGAACAACCTTTTTTTTGGTCGATTAAGGAGCAACCTTTTAGATGATGAGAAACCCAATGAAAGATCCATTGCCATCCTCTTACAACTCTTTAAACCCCACTCAAGCTCAAGCAATAACCCCAAAGCTCTATAGAGAAGGAGCATTCAAAAAATAAATGTTGCCTTGACTCCATATTTGAACCACATAAAACACAAGGTATTCATAGGCTTCCACTCACACAACCAATCAAAAGTCAACAACTTATAATGGTCTTTCGGACTATAGAAGCAACCTTTGACACATAAGGATTGACCATATTAATCTGTGTCGTGTAACTTGAGGTCTCCTCTCCCTAACCTACTTCCAACTATCCGCATTAGTAAAAACATCAGAAGATTATCGTAAAAAAATCACACAATCTGCAGTTGAGGAACAAGGCATTAGGCCATTACACAACGCGACCCGAATATCAATAAGGCAATCAAATTGAGCAAAGGGCTAAAACCAGGCATAATCTATAATAACATAAGAAACTTAAGTATGTATTGATAAGGAAAAGTGATAGATGATCCTAAGTCAAAAAACCTTTGAAAGAATACCCAATGAATGCCAATTATCATACCAAAATGAGGTATAGTTGCCTTCTCCAGGCATAAGTATAATCATGCTTAGGATTAACAACCTAGATAGGGACTCCTCTGAGCAAACAACATCCAATCCAGGCAATCCAAATAGAGCCCGATTGCAAAAGCAGCTTAGAAAGACTTTTCAAGATGCAAATAGTGTTCCGAGACCTAAGCTTTCTAAGGCCTAAGCTACCTCCACATTTTAGAACACTAACATCAGTTTATATCACCTTACAAGAATCGGTACCCCTTTCCAAAGGATTGCAATGCACCTACTCTCCGCACTTTTAATAACTTTGTTTCGAAGAATAAAGAACTGGCACCAAAAGTTGACAAGGCTATAAATCACTAAATTAATCAACTAAAACTCGAGTACCATAACTTTCAATCAATCACTTGAGTGTCATAACTTTTTTAAAATGTTCAACCAAATGCCAAATATCCGACATGGCATAACACTTATGGAGATAATTTTTTAAAAGTTATGATTTCTCAAGTGATCGATTGAAAATTTATAATGTCTCTCAAGTGATAAAAAAAAAATATGTTACTGAAGTGAGTGTCGTACATATGTTATGACACTTATATGATCGAAAAAAATTATGGTACTCAAGTGAGCATCGTACAAAAATTATGACACTTGTAGTGTCCTTTTCCTCATATATTTGGATGCAAATGGTATATTCTCAAGAATACATTAATGATAATGTTGGTAAGTTAGAATCAAGAGCATATGAAGGTATAATTCTTGATATTCTACTTTTAGCAGGGCATACCATGTATTTAACAAAGTTTCACAAGAAGTGAAAGAATCAATAAATGTTAAATTTGAAGATAAGTCGAAAGGTGCACGTGCTGATGATAATGAAGAACCAATGCTGCTCCCCGCACCAACTGATGATATCAATCAAAATCGGCATTCTAAAGTACCAAGTTTAAAATATGCCCATTATCAAAGGATTGGAGATACAAATAAGTCATCCTAAAAATCAAATCCTTGGAGATATTGACAAAGGAGTTAAAACCAGTTCATCATTCAAAGAGCAAGTATTTGTAGAGCAATCACCAAATTCGAAGAGCCAAGTAGGATTAACAATGTGTATCAATTCAGAAAAGCACTTTATGAACTCAAACAAACGCCAAGAGTATGGTATGAAAAGCTAAGTACCTTTGTGGTTGATAATGGGTTTGAGAAAGGTAAAGTTGACACTACTTTGTTCATAAAGAGAAAAAATGATGATATTCTATTGACTCAAATATATATTGACGATATCATCTTTGATCCACTAATGAGCTACTTTGCAAGGAATTTACCAATATCATGAAAAGCGAATTAAAAATGTGGATGATGAGAGAACTAAATTTTTTCCTTGGTTTACAAGTTTTTTTTTTTGTTTGTGGTCAGGCTTGGTTTACAAGTCAAACAAACTAAAGCTGACACTTTCATATTTCAAGAAAAATATGCTAGAGAATTACTAAGGAAGTTTGGGAGGAACGGTGCAAGAAAATTGATACACCATTGACCAAACTCGATAAAGATGAGAAATGTATGTTCTTGATATACTCATTATCTTGCATAAATAATAGTATTTTCTACAAGAAAATACAAGTAATAAGAAAATCCTTCTACGTAAAGTTTGACAATACAATTCTTCAATAACAGAATCAACAATAGTATACTTTGCTGACAACAACAAATTTCATTGATACTAGCAAATTTCACTGATAGTAGCAAATTTTGTAGAAAATAGCATCTGCTTCTATCAAGCTTACAAATTGTGTTATCTTCAAAGGTCAAAAAGTTCTATTCTATGTATTCATATCACAAGTTATTAGAGAAATAGTAAAATGCTTTGAATGGTATATTGAGTAGTTTATTGGTCCAAAATGCTTGAAATGCTTATAAATACTACTCTTATTTATTTAAAAGTAAGGGCATGATATATGTGACTTGAGATGTTATATATTTAACATCATTTATCCAAGAGTTTGTTAAGCTTATGCAGATTAATGAAGAACTCAAGTCTTTTTCTCGAATTTTAAAAAACAAACAATGATGAAGATGGTGCTGCTACAAAGGATATAAAAGCATAACCTTATGTTCAACACTGAAATCAACATAGAAGTGGTGATAGCAACACTAGAAGTAGTGATAGAAGTTGACGCAAAAGATGTTGTGAATGGTAAAAATTTTCGAACCACGATAAATGTTATTTGCAGGAACTGTCATGATGATAAGGGGAGAACGACGGGATGAAAAGCCAAAAAAAAGATAAAGGAAGTATCATTGGCAAATACAGCATCAAGTTGGGTAACTTAATTATTGAAGATTTATCTCTTAAGGGATACAACCACAGCTTGATTAATATCAACCAACTTTGTGATCAATGTTACAAAATCAACTTTGAGGATGGTAAATGTGCTGGAGTTATACATATGGACATGTTTGACCGACAAGGAACACTTTCATTTGTAATAAAAAGTACTTTTTTGATGATCACGGATGACTATTCAAGTTTTGAGGATAGCTTGAAAGGAACACAAGCTACTGAACAAGAGGAAAAATGCAAAAGAAATGAGAGAATCAAGATTATCTCAAGGAAGCAACACATTGAGGAAGAGCAAAGATTAAGAATAGACAAATCTTGATATACTTAAGCTAATTTTGACATGGATCTTGATTACTATTTTGAGGATGGAAGAAAAGGCAAATGCATGTGTAGAATTTGCTAAGTTTTATATAGTCTGGCTAGTCTATTTTCTATATATCTTACTTTGTGTCATTATATTGATCTTGATGATATCTTGTTAATATTGATGATAATGAAGTGATAATATTGATATGATTGTTCATGATATTATTGAGACTAACTATGCAATCTAGAGGGGTGTGAAAAGGTTGTTTTCACAAGATTTGAAGATTATGCGGAAATCAGCAACTGATATGTGGAAATCAGGAGAAGGAAATAATAGCTAGATTAGGTGAAGCTAATGTGCAATGGATGAGATAAAGACAATTTAAAAGATGGTGGATAGCAACTTATAGTGATTCGGTTTTATCACCAAGTCTACGTCTACTCTCAAGACTAACAATCACAACTTGGGCTGGAATGGACTAGTAATCACCAAGATAAGTTACAATCAGCAAACACTAATCTTATCATACTCGGTTGCTGGTATCATACTTGTGTACACTTAATCTTTGTCACGCCCCGAACTCCATCGGGCACGCGACATCCTTTACTGGTCGATTTATGCGACATCCCAGGAATTATCGCCGACCTCAATACAATCATCAGAGATTTAACGCACGGCGGAAACCACAATCAACTCGAACAATATAAACTGGGAAAGTCAGGGAGAATATACATATTTTCATTATCAAACTTATAAAACCTTTACAGTTTACAGCTACCACATACACTTGCACACCGTATTTAAAACCATCGATATACAAAAGATTGATGACCTGGCATTCTGACCTAAAAAATGGTACTCTCCAAAATCTATCATTCTGAACCCCTAATGCTAGCCCCTACGCCCCTTACTCGGCGTCCATTCTGAGTCTGACTCATCCCCATCTGAATCTGAACTTCCCTGATCGGCTTGCTCCTCCGAAGACTCCGTCTCCGCCTCAATCTCAATCGGGTGATTGATGTCGCCCGACTCAGCTGGAACTTCATTCTGATTCTCCTCAGCTAGAAAATCAAAGAAATTGTACGCAGGCACGAAATTGGGATCCATATATTGCTCAAAAGGGAGTATATATTCCAGGTCTCCTACAGGCTCTTCCGACTCCTCAGACTCATCATTAGGCTCTACCTCGGGTTCTATTTCGAGCTCCGCTTCCTCTGGTTCTTCCTCGGGGATCGGTTCTAAATCTATGTCCATTGGTTCAGCTTCAGCTTGCGATGCTTCGGGCTCGGGTTCATGCTCAGCCTCCGAAGATCCTTGTGCGGCGGGTGCGGGATGCATCCCAGATTGCGCTAAGCTAACCTCTGTACTGGTCAACTCTCCATCTATCGGGGGTATGGCAGCCGGGTCCCAATCCCCAACGAGATCAAACGGAACATCAAAACCCCTAACGGGCCCGAACTCATCTCCATCTACATCCCGGAAGAACCAGGCAGTATAAACATGGGGTTCCCATAACGGTAGTCCTACCTCTACAAAAACGGTCGAAGTATGCTTAATCCAAGTCATGCCATCACCCATCGGAAATTCTGCAACCTCATTCTCGGTGTGCACTGGCACCTCAAAACGCTCTGGTGGCGGTGGCGGAGGATTCATGTCTCAGGTCAGGGTTCTGATAATATTGGTTGAGACAACCATGAGATCACATCTCAGTAAGTACACCCCTAAACCCCACCTAGGCTATCACGTACGTCCAGATAATTACACAAATACAATCACACAAATCATATCATCACATAGCAGGCATATCACATACAATCACAATCGAGTACAAATCTCATGACATGCACTCATTCCGTTCTCATTATCTCGTTTCCACATGCTTCGCCAGTGACCCGCGTTATAGTACACGCCTCAGGTACACTACGACCTCTTTCCACACACTTCCGGGCCCGCGTAAACGTACACGCCTCAGGCCATGTTTCTTGCCCGCGTTGAAGTACACGCCTCAGGCTCAACATCTACCACCTACTGCGCAATCCGCGTAAACGAACACGCCTTAGGATGGAACAATTTCCACAAGCACATGTCATACCTCATTTCTTTCTTACTCGTGCACATGCTCAACAAGCATTTACCACACTCAACTGGCCAATCACATATGGCCCGTACACGCATCAATTACACACAATTCATGCTCACTCAGCATTTGCCATGGCCAATTTTTAACAATTAAATCAGTCTGGCCCAAGCGTGCACCCAACAGGCATATTTCAATCATTTAACCACACAACCACGCACTCAATTTAATCACCACAATTCAGTCATAGATCAAACACGCATTAAACACACAATTTGCCATTTTTCTCCAACCAAATGGCGTCAAATCAGTTCCGGTCCTTCACGACACTTTCTCACCATTAATTACCGGTTCTAAAAATCCAATTTGCGTCCCGATCGGCCCATCACAGCCCACTGCACAGCCACTCACAGCCCACTGTTGTCCTCAAATATTCCACCAAAAATTTCCAAATTCAATCCTAAGGCCCGCCACATAATTCCTCTCCTAAATCATGCAAATTCGCACATAATTTAAACCCGATTTCACCCAAAAATCACCCGTCGATACCCGAAGTCCTAAATTGGGTTTAGAGCGCGACTTACCGAGTTCTAGACTCACGCGGCTAGAACGGAAAGCGGCGGCACTTAATCGGGAACGGCGGCGCGGCTTGGCGGCGAGAACGGCGACGGCGGGGGCGCGACTTGCCTTGGCCGAGACCCACGGCCACACGGGGAGAGAGAGGGAGAGAGAGGGAGAGAGAGAACGGCGGGTGAGGGCTGGTGGTGGTGCGGCGGCGTGGACGGCGCGGCACGGCTGCGGTCCGGCGGGCGCACGGACGGCGGCGATCGGCGAGGGGAGGGGCGGTCGGCCAGAGGGGAAGAGCTCACGGTGGGGGGGGGAATTTTCGGTGGGGAGAGAGAGAAATGGAGGAGAGAGAATGGTCATTTGGACCTAAATAGTATAATTTGACCCAAAGTGGCAAATTACCAAAATGCCCTTCTCTCACATTTTGATCCAACGGTCCAGATTCGATCTAATCTTGAAATCGACGGCCCAGATCGAATCTTACCAAAAATATCCAAGGGCAATCTTGAAATTTCTCAAAAAGTCCAAGGGCAAAATTGTCTTTTCCAAATTTGAGGGCAAAATGACCAAAATGCCCTTTGCCCATAAAACTAACCCTTTACTAATTCCCAAGGGTAAAATGGTCACTTTCTCCGTTTCTCATCGAAATCGAACTTTTCTGAAAAATCCGAAGAAATCCAGAGTTGTACGTTCCAATTACAACGTCGTCCAAAGGCCTTGCTGTGACTTTCCAAATTTTCTGATGCTCGGTTTGGTCTCTAATCAATATTCAAATTATATATATAACGTAACTCGAGCGTTTCTCAGACTAATGGGTGGCTTTTGGGAAATTCGCCTGTACGACCCGTGACTTATACTAAATCGAGTCACGTACAATTTATTCAGACTGTAACGACTTCGGTTGTCATTAAAATCGTGATGATCAATTACTAGATCCGAGGGGTACGATCGTTCGGTATAGATTTAGGATAATTCATCAAGTCATTTCGTGGTCCGGCAGAATCACCCGCGATCCATTACTATGACAGTGGCAAACTGACCCCTAGCTATTCTTGGATTGTCCAACAGTGGTTCAAAATATCACCTCGACGATTTCATGGTCGAAAGTCAATTCACGATCGAATTTTCTTTAGTCGTACGAATTTAGATCCCTCACTAGCCTTTCCCTAACGGTTAGTATCCCAGGAATGATCAGTTCCAGATGAGAACTAACTACGAGTACATTAATAAAATAATTCATTTCATAAATCCCAAGTGAGCGAAATTGCGGAATGTCACAATCTTCTCACGATTTCACAACAAAAAAAAAAATCTTCTCACGATTATAATGCAGCAAGAACAATAGAGTGGAGGTCTCAAGAGAATGAAATATTATTTGCTCAGAATGCGATGTTGAATACTTTCAGCTTGTTTTATATATTTTGTCCAACTACTTTTTGAAATCTATGATCTTCTTTTATATAGATATATCCAATCTTCTCGTTAGAGATAGTCTTGAGAAGCAAGGAGCCATTAGGATTCTTCGTGAGCTATTGTTCTAAAGCTAGACTATCTATACAATCCTTTTTTGTGAACATCAGCAAGGTTTTCTGAAATAGGTTTTGTTGTTGCTGTCACATTATCAGTTGCTCTCACAGTTTTGACAAAAGTTGTTTCTAGTACTATGATGATTTTCAGTTCTTCTACTGCGTTGTTCCAGTCACAAACGGCTATATTTAAGTCTCCAACGAACATCCTTGGATGATCATTATACCAACATCATTTGTGACTTGATATTCTCGTGTTCAATATCAACATCATCATGAACCAATTATCATAGTCACTTGATGCGATTTGCAGTCAAGTCATACAAGAACAACTTGCAAATTTTTCTTCAATGAAATCACATCATGGATATCACTGCAATCCTTATGAAATCATCACGAACATCTGCACTTATCATAGTAAACATTATACCAAGAATAGTTTTGGAGTCATCAAAATTTCTAAGGATGTTTTTTCAACAGATATGTGCAGATAACGATGATATTTTCTACATGCTGATGATGATCTTAAGAGGTAATAGCACTTAGACAAAAGGAGCAACATTGTTGTTGTTTATAGTTTATTATCAATTGTTAACATGTTGTCTCTCAATGCATGTCTTTAAATAGAATTTCATGATAAAATACTTTTATTTGTTATCTCTTTTATAATATCATGAATTATGATTGATTTTATCATTCTATGATGATTATCATTATGTGGAGACTCCGAGATCTCCTTATGTGAAAATTGTAAAATAAACCAAACTTGTTGAGCAGATCTTTATATTCCCTTTATAATATCATGCTTTTCATTATGACGAAAAGGGAGAGAGTTCCTTGACATATATATTTGTTGATGCATATAATATTTAATCTATTGAACACGAGCTAATGCATAGTTTGCCTAAGCATGTTAAAAATGTTGTTTATGAAAATTATATTTCATGCCTAATAGTTGTGGTGAAGATTGTACAAAAATGAGTTGAATTTGATATTTATCATTAGCGCCTTTTTTATTATAATAAAAATGGGGAGAGGTATAATGAAATATGCATATGTGTTTGGAGGAGTATTAGTTCACGTGATGAATGTTCATTCCTATTTGAAATTCATGTAACTAAGCAACTTGTGTAGAAGCATGAACCGTTGTTAATTCCTATTGTTTTGATCATATTGTTTCCACTTACTATCTCTTGATTATATACATTGAATATCTTAATATTTGGATATTGTATTATGTGTTTATTATGCCTTGAAGTGAATTCCTATTTTTGCCCAAATAAGAAAATTTGTTTACTTTTCACACATACAAAATTCATTATCTTTTGTTGCATGTCAAGAGATCTACATATTCGGATATTGTTTTGTCATCATCAAAAAGAGGAGATTGTTGAGAAAATCCCCTATGATGTTTTGAAGATGACAATACAATCAAAGGCTATTAATGTGCATATTAGTTGAGTGGTATTGGGTGATGCATGCACAAGCCAATATGCAGATGATGTCATAATTAGTACTAGATGATTCCGATAGGAGGAGTGCTCTTCTACTATCAAGAGTGCTCTGTAGATATCTCGAGATCACTATCGATATCAAGGACAAATACGATTTGGGTGGCAAGATGTCTACAAGCTAGAAGGACATTGAGATAAGGTGAATATCTTAAAAGACCTTGATCAAGTAGGGGTAAGCGATTCAAGGTTCCACCTGGAACCTAAAACCTACCCTCGGGTATAGGTTCCTCATTTTTTGAAACATGGAACCTACCCTGTCACAGATTCCAGGATCGGTTCCAGGTTCTAATAGGTTCTTTTTTTTAATTTTATTTTTAGTTAAACAAAACGAAAATAAACGCAACAATGACTAGTTATTGGAAAGCAACATTTCGCTTAATAGAAAAGGGATAGAACATACAAATAGTAATTGTTGGGATGCAACCCATGACTTTAATTCCAAGGTAAGATGCCACATTTTTCTCAACAAAAAGTACAAAACATGCTCCCCTCCAAGCTCCTCTAAAGTAGAAAAATTTTTGTTTCTGGTCATCAAAGCAAGTTGCTCCTCCAAGCTCCTCTACTACCTGCAATACTGAAAAGAATTAGTTGTGTAGTGGCAATCAAACCTCCAAGAGAACCACAGGCAACAAAAGCAAGGTAGAAAGAGGAGAAACACGGAAACTGAGTATCGATAATTGGGTCAAATAGGAAGCGGAATGTTAACAATAATAACATGATAATGGTGTGGTGTTGCCCACACCAGAGATCGAGCCAATAGCAATACCATAGAAGTGTCAGCCACCTAACCAATCCTATGAAGATGCAGCACCACAAGACAAGTCATTGTGGATTAAGTTACTGGGAATGCCAGCTTATGGCAATCAACTAAACCACAAACAATAATTGCAATGGTGACTATAGCAAGAACGTATAGAGCATGAAATTGACCATGATCCAAATTGAATATCGGGGCAGAGTGCTGTAACTGAAGAAATTTAATGGAGGACGAAATTTAATGGAGAAATTTAAGTGATTATGGCATATAGGGATAGAGTGTTGTAATTGCAGAGTACCTGAATGAACACACTAAATACGCCCATGCAAAAGTGAGAAAGCGGATGAAATTTTGTTCTGCTAATATCATGCAACTATTTGAAGATATAGAAATCAAATTGGATCACGAGTTATACCCAATAATAAGCCTCGGAATAATGTAACGGACTTGTCCCATTATGCAGGAGTCAAAGCCATATTGAACCTGCAGACACAAGGAACCACGAGATCCCGTTAACTTGCTAGCTAAATTCCTGCTCCACCGCCATTAGCTTCAGAAACAATACCCCCAAAACGGCTTACCCAGATCCAGAAGAAGAATGCAATCTCAAAAGCATTCTGGAAAAGTATAAAATGGATCAAGTAGATGACTATTTGGGGGCGTCGAAACCAAAGTGTTCATCTTGAACAATCAATTCCCCTTCTATTGTGCTATGCTTTTCAGCAACTTCATGAGCCAATTGTGTAATAACATGCTCCAGCTTGGTTCCCACAGCCAGTAGAAGCTAGAAATATTATCAAAAGGTGGAAATGCACATGATTTAGTGATTCACAAGAGTCTGATCAATCATGGTTTCAAGATTGCACGCACTTTCAACCATGACCTAACTTTTGAAAACATGAAACAGCAGGCGCACTCAAACATTTCACAGGCAAATAAGAAACACTAAGGTAGGATATATCATGAATAGATAGCAAACTGAGCACAATCAACTTAACAATCAGCCTAGGGACAATACGTAAGAGAGCATTCACATTCACAGGTGATAAAAACACATGTATAATGACTCACATGACTAAAAATAATGCAAATGAAGTAAAGCATGCTAAAAATGACCGAGCATGACCATAAGAGCACCATCCCTGATCATTTCAGAAAATAGGATGCAAAGGAGCAATTTTCCCTATAAGTACTATTGACACACTCGATTGTATAGCATTCAGAGTGAACTTTTTGTCCATGCATGATCCTTGTTCCAATATTATTAGGTATTTGAAACTTGACCGTTACGGTAAATTCATGCTGCACGGAGAATTTTTCTATCAGCCAAACAAAATAGGAAGACTACCATAAGGTTCTAAAAAATTTGGAGCTCTTGGCTTCTTAGAAACTACAATCACAAAACTGCCAGCAAGTGGTCATCCATGGCTGTGAGGGAGATATTAGAATATATAAACATCGCATTTGTGTGCTTCTTACAACCTTTCTCTATTACCCATAAAGACCGGTGAAGTACAAGCTTGAAGATGTAAATCAGTCATTCTTCAAAAATTTCCCTCTTGAAGTCAATGATATTGTATGAACCATAAATCACACATAAAATAAACATTATCGTAAGCACAGTGTCCTAGTTGTTCCATGTTTTCAAGTCATGATCCATCATGATTAGTAGCAGATCATTTGGCAGCTAAGTTGACTTCCCTTCACCTTGCCAAACGCCTATTACTCATTTCTCTGTTGAAAATCTATTGAATCTAAATTTGTACTTCTACATTATATTGATAACCTAAGTCTCGCTTCCTCTTAAAGTCATCTATCTTGCAAATCAGGTACAGCTCATATAGGAATGATGCACAGAAATGACCAGCTCCAACATATTAGCAGAAACTCAGTCACATGGAAATATTCTCAGGTCATACTAATAGTATGTATAGAATGGACCCAGAAAGATCCCTATATGCCATAGTCACTTTGTCATATTCTCCATTAAATTTCTTCCTTCTTTAAACAACCACGAGGTTAAAGGCACGCACAAACCATTGGCAGAATCACACATAACATGACCTTAGCTACGCCTTCAACAATGGACAAAAATAAGAACAAAGAAAATCAAAGTATTAAGACAATCCATATCTAATTTACTGGTAAAATAAAATAAGTATTAGAAAGCCTCACCGCATATATTCATCCTTCAACTGGTAAACTCTATTTACCAACGATAATCTCCTCATTAAGACAATATTTATCTAAAAAAAAAGGGAGACTAAATTAAATATTTACTTATTAGATATATAAAAGGAATTACAATATATAAAGATATAAACATCACTTACCCAACTCAAATTTTTCTGCATTCTCGATGCACTCTTCAACATTAATCGACACACGAATGGCTCTCAACCAATCTTGAGTGAAAATCAAAGCTTCCACTACTTTGGCTATCAAAGAACTTAGAAAGCCATCAAGCACATGATCCAATATACTAAGAGTCGACTCTGAAGCAACAGTAGTTACGAGAATAGACAAAACATCTCGAGCCATCAAAGATAGGATCTTATGTTTTGAGCCGCTAGTCTTCCACCACATCAAAAGGTCAAGATCAAGAATATTTTCATTTTTATCTTAAAGATACCGATCAAGCTCAGATTTGTTGTCATCGCACTCTGTTTGATTCGAGTGCATAAAGGTTCTTCGAAAAGCTTGGGGGTCATTCTTCTTCTTACCTTCGTTACCATCGACATCGGTATTAGAACCACTACTACTTGGACTCAAACCTTGGACAACAAAATTTCAATCACTTGAAGCAAGAGAAGATTGCTCAGAAAATTCGTACAAACGCTCCAATGCGTCCTTCACCTTATAATGCATCTCATTAACTTTCGATTCATCATCATAAATTTATCCATACAAGAAATTCACATAATTCAACTTGGCTATAGGATCCAACACAACAGCAATAAATACCATCATATTCATTTTATCCAAACTCCCATAATATTTATCAAAATTTTCTTTCATTTTCCTACCCATAATTTGAAGTTTAGGATCCGAAGCATCCGCCGCCACATCTTTCAGATATTTATACAAAAGAGCTATCCCATCAAAGTAATCATTTGAAGTAACATATGAACTCCCCAACATCCGATTGGTGGCATCATAGAATAGTTTTAGAAATTCCGAAAGAACAATGTCATTTTTCCAATCATCATCTTTAGGAAGATCATTATTAAACTCACCCACAAAAGATGGATCTTCTTCTTCCATTCTTTCAAAAGTTTTTCTAAATTTTATGGCGGCGTCTAACATGTGGTAAGTGGAGTTCCATCTAGTGGCGATGTCAAGAATAACCGAACCCTTGTAAGTGATCCTTTCACTCTCAATGCAAGATTGAAATGTGTTGGCCCTCATAGGAGAACTCCTCACATACCTAACCACATTTCGGATACGTGCAATAGATTCACGTACCGTAGTCAAGCCATCTCTAACAATCAAATTTAATATATGAGCGATGCACCTCATGTGTAAAACACTACCATCCAAGATCAACAACCTTTCTCTTGAAAGTCTTTCCTTCAAATAAGAAATTGCAATATCATTCGAACTAGCATTATCAACAGTGATTGTGGACACCTTTTTTTCTATTCCCCACTCAAAGATGCATTTCTCCACCATTTTCCCAATTTCCCTTCCCTTGTGACTATGCATCACCACAAAATTGATTATTCTTTTATGCAACTTCCAATTTTCATCAATAAAATGTGCAGTGAGACACAAATAATTCAGATTTTGAATGGAAGTCCATGTATCAGTCGTGAGTGCGATCCTAGAATTAATCTTATCAAAGTAAGTCTTCAAACAAGTTCTTTCACAGAAATACAGCTTCATGCAATCTCTAGCCACTCTCAAAACGTGATAAATGTTTGAAGAGAGGTTGTAACTCAGTGACAAACTCACGAAATCCAACACGCTCAACTAAGGAAAAAGGTTAGTCATCAATTATGATGAACTGAGCAAGCATTTCCCTATAACGTTCTTGATTAAATGACCATGTCGATAAGACACTACCAAATCTCCCACTGCCTTACCAGCCACGTCTACATTACGTGGTGCAAAGCATTTCTACCTCTTATCTACATTGCGAGGAAATTTCTTGCACGTTGTCAAGTGCTTCCTCATTGCGAAAGTACCGTTAGCAACATGGTGCTTTAACACAGACTTATAATGAAAGCACTTCACCTGATATGTTTTTCCATCCTTATATTTGATTCTCTCATAATGATTCCAACAATCGGATGTATACTTCTTATCACAAGGAGGAAGACCAAGTACGTTGTTTGTGACATCCGCGATTTGGACCCATAATCGACCAAGGGAGATGGCCAAGAAACAAGTATATGGATCAACCCGAGGGTTGGCCATAGGCCAAGTGATTTGGTCAGAATGGGCAACCAAAGGATCGACTATGGTTCGATTGAAGGATCGACCATGGATCGACTTGGGAATGTGTAGTGGATCGACTCATCATTCACGCAATCGATTAGAGTAATTCAATCATGGAATGACCATTCAACCATAAGAGTAGGTCGTGGGACTATTACGCACCGAGCCGATCGCTAGACGGTCATGGATCGATGCCGCTCGGGCATGAGCCAATCGCGGGTGATTCCACTTGGTAATGCACCGGTCGTGGGCAATCATAAACCGGTTTCGTGCGACTGTACGTCCGTCACGGATTGATTCCATGCGACTACATGACAATCGAGGGTCGGCCATGAATCGTTGATGCTTAAACATGGACCGATCGCGAATCGACCATGGATCATTGCGGTGAATCGAGATAGGCCATGGACCAAGCCAGGAGCACTGTCGCTCGATCATGAGCTAGGCTTAGTGCCAGTCGTGCAAGCCAAGCCCTGTGCCTTGACATATGCCAGGCCCCGTGCCCGATCGGCTAGGCAAAGGCCAAGCCCTGTGCCTGACCGAACGCCCGTTCCTATGCCCGGCAGTTGTGCTAGGCACCGTGCCCGACCAGACCAGGCTCAGTGCCCCGTCAGGTACTCGACAGGCCAGGCCCAATGCCCGGCACTGCGCCCATTCGGACTTGACTTGCGCCTGGATTGCCCGATTAATTCGATCTTGTGCCAATCAGCCCAGGTGTTAGTCCGGCTAAGTTCGGCTATTCTCGGGGATACTTCAACTCTGAACTTCGGTTTGAATAAATGGTCGATCGTGTATGGTCACGTAAACCCTCAAATACCTTGATTTGTTTACAAAATGCGGGGTAAGATTTTAGAAGCCTAGTACCCAATGGAAAGGCAATCCGTTGGCTTAGGCAATTTGTGCCAAGAGTTTAGTGTTCTTGCAAGACTAGAAGCAAGTCACACGCCTAGGATTTAATTGGCAAGAAAACAAATTGATTTGGTCCAAAGTCTAGCCAATGAACACCTTCCTTTATAACTTAACCCAATAATAGAGGTTTCTTGCTAGAAGACCAATAATTAGGGATAAGCTTAGGTGTCTCACCCCAATAATGGAGGATAGTGATTCACCACCTCCATTAATGGACAAGCTTGGAGACAAAGCCAAGAACCATTCGGCCAAAGGGAGTTCACGACCAAGGAGTGTTCCACGTGCAAACAAGAAGAACAAGCTAATAATGGCAACTTGCTTAGAA